TCACATACTGGGGTGTATGGCAATGTCATATGTAATGAACGTATATACCAGAAAGTATGAAGATTCACATACTGGGGTGTATGGCAATGTCATATGTAATGAACGTATATACCAGAAAGTATGAAGATTCACATGCTAGGGTCTATGGCAATGTCATATGTAATGGATGTATATACCAGAAAGTATGAAGATTCACATACTGGGTTGTATGGCAATGCCATATGTAATAGACATGTATACCAGAAAGTATAAAGATTCACATACTAGGGTGTATGGCAATGTTGTATGTAATGCACGTATATACCATGTATGGAGTTTTACATGGGGTGTATGCATGATGTATGAAATATTAAGTAGTATCAAGGAATGCAAGTCCAGAGTTTATGAGAATTACCAAGATGTATGTACATATAAAGTACAATGACCCCTTCAGTAAGTCATGATATCAGCCAAGTTGTGGGTAATGGCTCCCAACAAAAATTGATTGTCTTTTCCAGTGGTAGCTTTGAAAGAAATTAGCTAACAATTCATTTCTCCATGTAGTTCTTTAGCTTTAGAATCAGTATAAGACAATCAGTGTTATTTAGCTTTAGAATCAGTAGAAGACAATCAGTGTTATTTAGCTTTAGAATCAGTAGAAGACAATCAGTGTTATTTAGCTTTAGAATCAGTATAAAACAATCAGTGTTATTTAGCTTTAGAATCAGTATAAGACAATCAGTGTTATTTAGCTTTAGAATCAGTATAAGACAATCAGTGTTATTTAGCTTTAGAATCAGTATAAGACAATCAGTGTTATTTAGCTTTAGAATCAGTATAAGACAATCAGTGTTATTTAGCTTTAGAATCAGTATAAGACAATCAGTGTTATTTAGCTTTAGAATCAGTATAAGACAATCAGTGTTATTTAGCTTTAGAATCAGTAGAAGACAATCAGTGTTATTTAGCTTTAGAATCAGTATAAGACAATCAGTGTTATTTAGCTTTAGAATCAGTAGAAGACAATCAGTGTTATTTAGCTTTAGAATCAGTAGAAGACAATCAGTGTTATTTAGCTTTAGAATCAGTATAAGACAATCAGTGTTATTTAGCTTTAGAATCAGTATAAGACAATCAGTGTCTGTGTTTTTTAAACCATGTCAATGTCATTAACACCCATTTTAATTGTCAAATTACAAAAGGTGGCTGTGGCTCAAGGTTTTAAATTAATTGTGAATTTCTTGACTGGTATTGCTTTGATAAAGCCTTGTAAAACTCACTGCAATGTAAACAATCTATCATTATCTATGCAGTACGTCTAAGCGAAAGTTATTCAGTTCACCCATCCATAAGTCACTTTTACTGCTGGAGTTCCAATAGGGACTTAGCAAGGGGTCACTGTAGTACCAAACACCAGTGTTTTTAAATGCCCGGGTATATTAATCCAGAGTGTATGAGAAATTATGAGTATGTGGAAGTCACAGAACATGATGTGTGTAATTTACACAAAATACTGGAGTGTATATAACCATGCTGTATAAATATCTCAAATTAAAAAAAGAAAATCACAATTAATAAAGCAAACAGAAACATAGAATACTAATTTTAAACTCTAAACTAATAAACACTGATTTGTAGAACAATTTGAAACACACCTCAGGTATCAAGCTCTCCACTGATTAGTATGATAATCTCAACACATTCAAAATATTTAGAAAAAAAACGTATATCAATTTGTAAAATTTGTAAATTTGGCCACATCATGGCTCTACTTTTTTTCTTGTACATCAGTTAATTAAAAAAAATAAACCCTCTTTGAGAATCCTGTTAAAAATTTACCAAAACAAGAGTTCCAGATTTTAACCACAATCAGTGGAAACAACTCGCACATATTTAAATATAAAACAGATTAGCAACAATGATTCACTGCTGACTTATGCAAGAAAATTTGTTCAGTAAAAGTTTTAACATCATTGATTATGGTTCTCTTTTCAGACAAAAAAGTGAAGAAATTGTCTCAAAAATTAGAAACTGCAAAATTTCAGCCATGATTGGATTATGATCATCATTGTCCTTTGTACTACGGTATAAATTCAATTAATGACAACAGAATTGTTCAGGATTGGATGATTGTGTTCATGGAATTGAACTTTATGGTCGTCACTGTGTTAGCGTCAAGTTGGTTTTCAGTCATTGAACAGATAATTTTCCGTTCATTGCGAGATTATTTTAATGCTTAGGCCAGACTTTTATTATTCCTTGTTTCGCGAACCCACCGAATGAACAGGAGCTGAAAATGAAATAAAAATAACATTTTATTTCAGCGTAATTTCTCGCGCCTGCCGAATTGTAAGTGCAAAAATTTACTAAAAAAAAATTATTTTTGTCTTCATTTTTTTTCGCCTGCCGCATAACAAATCCAAGTTGCATTTTCGTTGGAGTATCATGATCAAAGTACAGACGTCTCGCGCAGATGAGAAACAAGATTATACATAAAATTTTATTCCATTTCTTCTTTCCGATCAATAATCTCACTTACAATTCTTTGAGAATCACACAAATCTAATGGGGAAAAAAGATTTTTTTTTTTTTTGCCCTCCTCAAAAAATTTGCCTCATAAAAACTCAAGAAACAAGAAATAAAAAAAGTCTGGCCTTAATTATGTGCTATGAACTTTGGCTGATAGTCAATTTTGATGAAGTAGGGGTATCTCAACTCAATATTCCCTTTTGAAAGATTGGTATTTTGACATTGAATTATAAGAAACAAGCTATGTCACTATGAGTCTCATATCGAACAGGACGCGGCACGATGACTGCCGCCCTTTAAGTTAAAGATATCATCACGAAATGACCAAATCTAAGTGAGGTCTGCCCAAGGTACATATACACCAAGTATCAAAGCAATAAGAATTGTAGTTTTCAAAAACAAGTCGAAAAAGTGAAAAATTTACACAGTCGCCAGACACCAACGAATGACGGATGACGCCGGACAATCATTCATATGATAAGCTCCGCTCGACAAAGTCAACAGCGGAGCTAAAAAAAGAAATTCAAGTAAAAAAATCAAATCATTCAATTTTCACGTTTGGTCTGATGGAAAATCATCAATTGTAAAGTTTTTAATTTTGGTTCGAATGAACATAATTTACTTTGAACATTTTTGGTTTTATTTTGTAGAAGTGATAAAAGTTCACCATAAATGCTATAGTTTTTTTTTTTTTTTTATTGTTGGTTCAACATTTTCTAGAATTATTTTGTTTTAAACCCAATAAAATAATTTATTATCACATTTATTGTCTCGTGTAAACATAAAAACAAAACAAAACACAAATTACACAATATTCTGACAACATGGCTACATTCAGCACTTCACTAATAAGGAACCAAACTTTCAAATCAAAAAATAGGAATATTGCGACAAAATAAAAAAAAAAATCTTTTTAAGCTTTGATTTTGATTTTTCATTTTTCTAGTCCAAATTCTTAGTCACGACAACCCCACTATTTTAAAAAGCTGAAAAGTTACATATTAAATATAATGTTTTTTATAAAACAGACAAATATTAAATACACAAGAACTAAATGTACACTAATTTTGGACAAACTCTCAGACCTACATTTTAAAAACCTTGTTAAATTAATATGTGATTTAAAGGTAAACATTGTTGACTACACATAGAAAGCATTCTTGTTTTCACATAAAAAAACATGTACTTTAAGTTAACATCTGTGGAAAACATGTATTTTAAAAAAATTCTGGGGAAAGTATAGCAATAAACAATATAATATCCTAAAACACACATCTATCCTGAGATATTTTCACAACTAAAAATTTAAATGTTAAAAAAAGAGCGAGCATGAAAAAATCAATTCTCCAGTGAAGCATTATGTAAATGAACCTTATGAATATTAATTCAATTATCCCTACAGTCTTTCGGCTGTACCGATAGTAAGTATATCTACCTTTGGAGAAATCTTTCATCTATACTGATAGAATGTTGACCATTTGAGAGATATTTTGGCTGTCCCGATAACATGCTACCATTTGAGAGATCTTTCGGTTGTACCGACATGATGTCTACCATTGGCTTTACCCAATCTGACTGAAATCTTACAGTAAAGGTTCTGGTCATGTATAAAATACAACCACAACAACCAACCAATTATAACTTGTGTTACAGGCCACTTTTAAAAGCAACATGTTTTATATGCATGCTTTAATTGGTTGACAAATCCCTCCAGAGCATTTTTGCATAGTCATGCAGATGTAGAAAATGTACACCTGCAGCCATACAACAATGGCCTTATGTTAAAAGTAAGCCTCGACTGATGTAAGGTGTTAATAAGATTAGGTTTAACCCTAACACTAAATATGGAGAATATCAGGCCTACATGTCCTACAATTTTTAAACTTTAGAATGCATACATTTTGCTGCCAACATTTTCATGTACTTGTTGTTGTTGTTGTTAATTTAAAAGTAAATCTATGTAATCATTCATTTGCTACAGCATCAAGTTGACAAAAGTTAATATTATAGAGTTAAATGATTAGTGGAAAAAAACAAAACCAAAAATCTTTGCTTTACCCTGTTTTAAAAAGAAACATAAAGGTGTGAAAACGCAATTTCTCTAAAAACTTAAAAAAATTGGAAACGCATAGATAAAATTGTTAAGTACAGGAATGTTTGGGAATGGATAAGCTGGGGGAAACAGACATTCTTACACTTCTTATCAAACTTAACAAATAGATAAATATATGATAGTCGCTCAACAATAATTAATTTGCATATTTGTGATTTAGATTGCACATGTGATTGGTTCGTGAATGAACTATGGCCGACAAAAAAAGCTTGTTTTCACATTATTTGAAACCAAATAACAACAAACAATGCTTGACTTCAAAATCTAAATAAATTCTGAAAATATAGCTATCTCAGTCAGCAAAAATACAAGCGGAAGTAGAGTTCAATAAATTTATTCAAACTATATACGAGGATGGATCCCGAGCGGACGATTGTTGTTATAAAATAGAACAAAATTTGGACACTTTATTGCCTCTGTTATTTGTTGTTTGGTCTTTGCTGAGTTTCTTTGTGTTGCGACTGTTGTCATTTATCACAGGCGACTGCAATGGCGGTTCCGAATTTTTCTTCTGTATTCGATGCAAAATGATTCGATATGTACCCGTGATACTGTTCCTGGAGTCCTTATCACGGGTTTGTTCCAAGTGTTCCTCCCCAATTCCTAAATCCTTAAGTGCTGATTTCACTTCGATTTCTTCCGCACTTGATGATTTATCAAAATGCGGCATCAGCTTGTACTGTAGGTGAGCTCTGGGGAACTCTATCCCTTCTAGCCAAGCTGACCGTTTCATATCATTTAGCGATGGCCTGTCCGATGGCAATGGTTTGAGCATTGACTTGATTAGGCTCTGACAGTCTTCAGATACGTAGGACGGTATTGTGTACGTTCCATCCAATATACATTTTTTCAACTTAGCTACAGTTTCGGCACGAAACGGCATTAGACCAGTTACCATGAAATACAACATTATTCCCATAGCCCATACATCAACCCAATGGCCGATGTAGTTCTCGTCTTTAAAAAGTTCAGGTGCAGCGTAAGGAGGAGATCCACAAAACGTATTCAAGGTCTCTCCAGGTTTGCAAACAGTACTGAATCCAAAATCACCAATTTTAACAAGTCCATTTGTGGCATAAAACACATTCTCAGCTTTCAAATCTCGGTGTATGATAAACTTCCCATGCTGCAGGAAAAAAAAAATAAACAAATTAACTCAGATGACTCACTCTATTCTTGTGTGCTAAGAAACTTCAGTTGTTATAAAAATCAAAACTTTTTTTTTCAAATGAGCTGGATTAAATTTATTCAAACAAGCAAGGAAACAGTATATGTAGCTTAATTTTCACTTGCCATATGCTGGTCATATCTCATTACCTATTCAGATTTATGCAAA